TCTCTCTCTCTCTCTCTCTCTCTCTCTCTCTCTCTCTCTCTCTCTCTCTCTCACACACACACACACACACACACACACACACACACACACTCTCTTGGAGTTATGTACAACAAACATGACAAACCACATCAACAGACAAAGTACGGGCTGTGCACCTGGTAAGTAAGTCAATCGGTATTAGTAGCAGCGTCTTTAGCCAACACAGGTGTGAGTGGGTTGCGTGTGGTGTGGAAGAGAGTGTCGGCCTCAGACACTGCTGTTGTTGTTGTTGTTGTTGTTGTTGTTGTTGTTGTTGTTGTTGTTGTTGTTGTTGTTGTTGTTGTTAACTTACTTCGCAAGACAAAAAAAATTACTGGCCTCAGTTACCCTTTGTCACACAAGAAGCTGAATACAGTAAATCCCTGGTTCAAAAGACAGTCAGCCAGCTGCTCTGATCGCAGTGATTGGAGAGCTAAAAGTGAAAAAAACAATGGAATGCAGAAAAAGGCAATCCATTGATTTGGTAGAAGATCAGAGAAACCAGGACGGACTTTGGATTGATGTAAGACAAACTCCCAGAAAGTGGCCAACGCAGGCTCAATGCTTCCAGCAGTTGTTAAGACGGATACAAGGGAAGTCTCCTCCTGCTGGGTCGCACTATCACATCCAGAAACAGATGAACTCTCCTCTGAAGCAACTGCTCCAGTTCTAGCCGCGCTCCTTGACCAATTTGCCTGATTACAAGCCCACTCTTCCCAACGACAATCATCTTCTGATGCTCTGTTTCGACAATGACGAGCTGCGATACGACGACCGAGTCATCTCTGCAGACCCTCCACTTAATATGCTTTTGCTCCACAATGTAGGGCAACTCCTTGTGCACACGGTTATAGATATGCTCTCGCACTATTTCCAGCGCTAAATCCTTCAATGTCCGATCAGTGATCCTCCCAGGCTCGACTTCCCATGGCTGCAGTGCAGCCTGGTCTATGAAGTACCTCAGCATGACCTCTACTCCACTTCCCTTGCGTGCTGAGACCATGAACACCCTATCGAAGTCGATACCGAGCGATGTCAGGTCCGACGTCAATGCAAGGAGGTCCTTCTTGTCCCCAACTGCATCCACCTTGTTCAGACACAAAACTCGTTTTGTCGTCATCGGCAGGACCTTTCCAAGTCGGGACACAAGATTTCGCACCCTTGGATCTGGTCTTCTTATCTGACGCTCAGCGTCCACAAGAACAGCAACGACATCACACTGTGCTGCCACTCTCCTGGCAATGCCTGCAAGGTGGCCGCTCTCCTTGCTGAGGGTCTGGCTACCCCCTGTGAACTCCTCAGCCATCCCTGGGGTGTCATACAGCTGCAGTTGTGTGTCTCCCTTGCAAACGACACCTAGCATCTCCATTCTCGTTGTGTTTGTCTTTCTTGACACTGCTGAGACCTTGGTCCCGACCAGACGATTGGTTAGCATCGACTTGCCGGCATTGGGAGCGCCAATGATTGCCACAGTCAGACTCCTTTGCCTATCACGTGGCACGTTCTCATCCCCTAGTTGCAGCTGTTCACCAGATTCCAGCAGCAATCTCTCAAGATCTTTGCGACTAAGGCCTGGCAGCATCACATTACCAAATGAAAACCCATGGCTTTCAGCATCAGACGGTGGGAGGACATCCTCATCCTCCTCTTCATGGCTGACACTGGGGTTTGAACAAGAAAGAGCACTGTTTTTTTCTCTCCCTTCCTCCTCCTCCTCCTCATCCTCCTTCCCTTTCTCACTAGCCTCTGAACAAACTGATGATACCGATAAAGAAGACGACCATTCTTCTTCTGAAGACGCTGCTGACGATGATGGTGATGACAAAGAGGAGCCCCTGGAGGCCCATCCTGGAGATGAGCGGGCAGCTGCTGGCAACAAGGGAGGTGCCAAGGGTACTGAGGTTGATTGCTGACACTGCAGAGTGGCAGTAAATGATGGGAAGAATGACCCTGAGGAGGAGGACAATGTGGGAGCAGAAGATGAATTAGACTGCTGCTGATAACCCTCAGATGTCTGGCCTTGAGAAGGTATTAGGTCATTCTCCGAGATGCCAAGAGGTGTATTGCGACTATCACGTGACATTGGCTCTTCCTTCAAAGTCCGCTGGGTCAATGATGATCTTGTCGAGGAAGTGGAATCGAGACCCGAAGGTGAAGACTGACCGGTAATTGATGTTGACGATTCCTCTTTCGACGTCATTATTTTGTCATAATCATTCTCGTTGTTGCTGAGAGGGAGCTTCTGAAGACGAGGACGAGGACGAGTACGCGTTGTAATTGGCTGCTTCTTAAACGTCTGTTGATTAGTCTCTGGTGACAAAGGATCGGGGAACACTGTTCCCCATTTGTCCTCTTCATCATCTTCCTGAAGGGGGTCGCCAGCCGTGCTCATCATTGAAGTCGAACCTGATCTTACACCCCGATCACTGCGCGCCGATGAGCTAAGCCAACGGAGATGGCCTGGAGTTGAAATGGGCATCGTTCGTGGGCTCAAGCTGACGTCTGGCCTCGAAGAGTCGCAGATCTTCAATCCCGATCGCGACGCCAGCGCAATCCCCTGCATACCCTGCAGATCCCCATCCCCATGCTGCTTCTGCTGCAATGACTGCGAGTCCCCCACCGGCAATTCCCCGAGCATCTCACAAGAACAACCCCCATAGCTCTTCTTCTGGGAGGAAGCCGAAAGAAGAGATGATGATGCAAACAGCGGGCAAAGACAGTGCGAGACCCAGCGATAGGAATCGAGAAGAAGATGCCCTCCACGTGGCACATAGACAGGCGAGTGCTGGATAGGGATAGGGACAGCTGGCGGCTCGATGCGAGAGCCTGCACGCTTCAAACGCTCAATGACCGGCAATGAACATGAAAGCTTCGCGCCGCAGGACCGAGTGAAGGAAGAGGAATCTACTTCTACTTCCTCAGAATGCAGAAGAGAATAGCGAGTCGATCTAGCTTCCCAATTACGACGATAACGGTGGTAGAGGGCACCTACTGAGCCCTGCCATGGCCGGCTTTCACGATGCAGTCGCGTCATCAGGAGGGACACCCGTTCCATGGCTGCGGCTGCTAAGCGGCGCGACCTGGTAAACCCCTGTAGCCTCCTCCCCTGCTCTCCCCTGCTGTCCTCACCAAGCTGCCAACCCCTCTCTTGCTCCAGCAGCGTAGTTGGTTGGTTCGTGTACACAACAGAGGCAAACACACACTAAGGAGGAGGAACGACCGAGCTACGGGAGCAGCAAGCTGGTCACCCACCCACCCAAAAAAAAAAAAAAAAAAAAAAAAAAAGGTAATCACCCACCAGCAAGCACAAGCTTTCAATCTCCCCGCTTGCTCCAGCAGCGTAGTTGGTTCGTGTCCACAGAGGCAAACACACACTGAGGAGAGGAACGATCGAGCTACGAGAGCAGCAAGCTAATCCCCCCCCCCCCCCCCCCCCCAAAAAAAAAAAAAAGGTAATCACCCACCAGCAAGCACAAGCTTTCAATCTCCCCGCAGCAAGCTAATCACCCACCAGCAAGCCGATAATCGCCTTCGCTGGGTTGCCATGTTCAGTTGCGACCCCGACACACTACCGCCGGTGGAATAATCCTTCCCCCATGAGCACGGGGGCCAGTTCTGGGGGACCTCCGAGGGGTAAGGTCATTTCTCGATTAGTGCGTGTCATCATCATCCGTGCGCGGGGGCCATGGTGTATGCGAAAGATGGAGCAGTTTCTACCCCCCCCCCCCCCCCCCCGCAAAAAAAAAAAAAGATGGAGCAGCCGCGGCACCGGGTGGGCAGCTTAGCGCTCCCTCTGGACCAACCACCGCTGTGGGAGGAATCTCATTCTCATCTCACGGCGATGTTCGGCCGTCTCCTTCGCCGGCATGACCGAGGGGGCGGTTAATCGCTCGCTATAGGGGGGTCTGTCATCGGGAATGGAGGTTTACCTCATCTATAGGGGGATCTGTTATCGGGAATGGAGGTCCATAGCTACCTCTCATTTGCGTTGGCGCACCGGGAGAGTCCATAGCTACCCTATTCCCCCGAACACAACGCACCCTAAAAATGAATTGAATCTATACAAGCTATATTTTTTCCGGCCTACAGCCAAAATGAGGGTGCGTTGTGTTCGGCGGAAGGCGGGTAGGGTAGGCCAAGCAAACCTACTACCGGTAGGTACGTAGATTTCCAGCAGAGGTACAGTAAACAAAAGTAGATCGTAGTAAGTCTCGGGGAAATTTTCACTCTTAGGGTCAGATCCCACTACCCTGGATTATTCATTTTTCACCCTCGATTACGAAGATCAACGGTCAGAAATTAACAATAGGGGCTAGTGGATCTGGCCCTTACCATGGTAAATGGACCTTTGCTACGCACCCTTTACGATATCGCTCCCCCCCCCCCAATTCCGACAGCAAGCGCAAGAGACGCAGAGAGAGTTGAAGAGTTGGGGAATCATCAGTCGGGAGATGCTACGGAGAGGAGGGAGTAGGTCCAGAGGATGTTATTAATTTATGGGGGTGGTAGAAGATTATGAGGGGGGAGAAAGTTTGTGGTAAAAAGGGGTGTTGTAAAGGAAAGGACTGTTTTCGGTACCTTCCATGGAATAGCGAGGCAACGATCAAAGCAAGCAAAGGAGGATGGCTGAAAGGTCTCGGACATGCTGTTACTCGATGGGCGTGCGGGATGAAGAAATGGGAGGAGCACCTACTGGGGCTGGGACCCACTAGCATCGATATACGCTTCGGCAGTTTGGTTTTCAACGACGTGCGGCGAGAGGTGACATCAAGCGACCGTTGATCCTTTTGTGTATCTCCGGCGCAGGGCGATAAGGATGGATTTCGTGGAGGTATCTGTCCGCCGGCCAATAGAAGAGTTTCGTTTTCATTTTTTAGTCCATTTAGCTAGCCACTTTGCGTTGGCGCGAAGCTGCAATATTGGAGTTTCTCAAGGGGGGGGGCGTTATTGCAGCTTTGCGCCATGCTTTTTTTTTCCGCAGAAATTGAGAATATTGAGATTTTCGTGGAAGACTGCGAACAGGCCGGCGGGAAGCTCGCATGCAGATGTACCGGGTTGGTGGAAGTGTGGATGCACTGAAGTTTTGTCATGATGTCGATGTCAGGCCCCGTAATTTTTCGTTTTTTGGGTCCTTTTATTTGCAATCGTGTAAATGATAAAAAGCATTGTTTATGCGTTTTTAAATGAGAAAAGAACGCCAGACACCGATTTACTCGATGCTAGTGAGTCCCGGCCCCTGGCGTACAATTAGGGTTTTTTCATACGCTCTTTTTTTTCTTTTTTTCTTTTTTTTTTTAAAGAAGAACTGCCCGAGATAGGGGTGGTGGTAGGAGCAGGCACCCCTAGCATACTCAGGGAGGCTCCATCTATTGGTGGGAAGCTTATGTTCGTTTTGTTGAACCTTTTCTATGATGTGAGGGATGGCGGACCCGTTTTCCGTGCCTTGATCATACGACATTTGGCTGCCAGTGTTCTGGGGAAAAAAAAAAAAAAAAAAAAAAAAAAGCTCGGCCTATTCCCAAAAAAAAAAAAAAAAAACAGCCCGGCCTGCGTGTTGGCCGCCAGGCCCCACGGGCAGCTCCAATTCTGCAGCTTGGACAACCAGTGTGCTAAGTTTTTTTCCTTTCTTGGCTGGCTCCCCTAGCCATTGTGCTCGCGTAAGCCCGAGGCGCAAAAATTATCGGAGTAGGTAACAACGAAATCTCCACAAGGCTGCGGCCATGTACTGGCGGTTTAACTATATGCCAATAGTACGTTATATTCAAATCAGGGTGCAACGTCGTCTGTACGTTGTACAAGTTTTATGAAACCTCTAGTACACATGTTGTTTTTATCTAGGCTACCAGAGTGATAGTGATAATGGATGGAAAAATGCACACAAGAGATGTACACTAGTCACCAAGTAGTAAATATCACTGAATGGCAAGATTAACGAGTATAAGACGAGTAATACCGCCAGTCGCACCGTCAATCCCAAGAAACCACCGTCTCTCCATTAAACCCTATAAGACTACCACCGATAGTCGTCCTAAGATTTCCACCGATAGGCGTCCTGTGGTAGACCCAGGAGGTCGAATCAATCCTATTTATACTTCCCCTATGGTGAGCTCCTGAAAACAGCAAGTACCAACTCCTATGAAGACCAGTGCAAAACACAGCACCAGGTGATTCGCTATCCGATACCGAGGTTCATGTTCAAGTCCCACCCATTACCAAGTACGTGTCACAGACCTACTCCGCTAAATGTGCGGTGTACAAACAACTCCCCCGTTAGCCATACAACTTCAGAAAATAATTGTCCTCTGTCTGCACTGTATCCGCGCCTAGCTCAGGTTGCCTAATCGAGGACCGCAATAAGTGTCAAAGTACAGGCCCACCAATAAGAAACCCGCAAACCATACGGCTACAAAAACTCAGGCTAGTACCTTCGCACAATACAATAGAAGGCACAACAAGGCACAATGTGCAGGTTCGAAACCCATCCAAAATACTATAAAAATTTTAAAGAGTCCCTGTCAAAATAAAGCTGCAAAGAACAACTTCAGGCCACTAGAACAACATCAAAAAAATTCACAAAATTCATCACCTAAAACTGCAGCAAAAGAACACAAATCCAAAAGTATCCAAAAACAAAAAAAAATAGGATCGCCTCATCGAGAACCCGGTCATATGCCTGTTTAGTACAGGAGTTTGACTATTTGCCTCCAAATGTTGTCGCGCCTGACAGAGAAGCGCTTGAGAACCTGCTTAAAAAACTGGTCCGGGAAATCCTTCAAAGATAATTCCCTCCTTAGCGCTCGCACTCGATACGATATCTCACATTTAATTGAAGTGTTTTGGTCAATACGGTGGAGATAGTCGTCGATGATAGCGCTTTCTGCCTTTTGCAGCCCCATGAGAGATATGACTGTCCATTTTGTACCTTCAAACAGTCGGAAATCCACAGGCAGTCGTCATTCCTGGAAACTTGCACACATCCCATGCATGGGTATGTCTGCGAAATGTGGACCTGGCATCCAAGGAAGTCCAATAAACCAGAACCATCATCAATACGCTTTAGCAAGAGATTCCTGGGGTAGCAATACTCAAAGGCCTGCATGATAGCCCGATTGTTTCCGTCGAGAGAAGATATGACCAACATCACATCATCAATCAGTCTAGAAGCAAAGATACAACGTACAGACCTTCTGATACTGCACATGAATCGATACTCAGTAAAAGCGCACAAGATGCAGGCAAGGGGAGGACTAGTCCTCTTTCCCATGGGGATGCCCAACTCCTGTTTCAACAAGATCCCCGTAGCATGGAAATAAGTATGATTCAACTCAAGATTCACAAAAGATTGAATCTCATCAAGGAAGAGTTTCCTCCAATGATCACCACACGTTGTCAACCCAAAACTTGCTCCCTTTCCCCGTGTGTTAACATGTACGAAATAATGACCTTTCCCAATATGGTGGGCGATGAGTCAGTCTATGGCACGACGAATATCCGCATGCGGGAGTTTGCTGAACATATCCTTGATATCGAAAGAATACGAAGTAATTGTCTGGTCAGCTCCGAAACGGAGCAATCTTCGGTTAGCAATAGCCAACAGCTCGGTCAATAAAGATACGGCAAGTAAATTAAAATGCCATTGTTTGGGAACTGTATTTAGCAGTTGGTTCAGTGCTTTTGCCACAACCCTCCCATTATGGCTCATGGGTTTCACAAAGGACGGGCAAATCGGACAAAAACGAGAAAAGTCCTAATGCTTCTGCAGAATATATGCCGAACCAAACTTCCCTTTGCTGTCCGAACGAGAGAATTTTTTTAAGCCTGCAGCGACAACGTCCTCGCGGAGTTCACGCAATACGAGGCTTTCAGGACAGGTCATAATACGATAGTCTGGGTTAAGCATGGAAGTGTTCATCATTGCATCGTACTATACCTGTGGGCACATAACAACCGTTTCCCCCGGGTTACGATCAACAGCGGTAAGTACCAGACCTTCAAATCTTTGTTTAATCTTCATAACCTCATCCATTTACAGGCAGCGACTATTCCCCACAACAGTGGAAAAACAGTTTGACAAAGCTTCATTACTCAAATACGGTGGGGCATCTTTACAATTGATCCAGTTAGCAAAGCCAGAACGCAACTCTTAACGAAACGAAGGTAATCGATCGTGAATTCGTGCACAAGGCACGTTCTTAGCATTCCCTAACAAAAGATGAATCCCTTCGAGTTCGCTAAGTCTGAATAGAACATGGTCCGCCGAGCGCGGGAGATTCAGAAGTACAGGTCAACACAAGGCATGTCGACAGACTACGCATATTGTGCAAAATATCGACAATAGTTGGGTTTTTTGTTCCCACTATCCGAAGTTTTCTCCTGGCTCTATGCAAAAAGCACAAAGGTAAGTTCAACTGCATTAAGACATTATTCACAATTTTTCGAACCTCGGCAATAACGATGCGATTGTCGAAACATATGCAGAAAATTAAGTC